CCAGAGGCCAAAACATAGAAAGACCAATGAAGTGTACACTTACATGAAGAAAATAAACTTTGACCAACAGTCAACTATTTTTTTTTTTTTTTAAAGGAACCACTGTAAGCCTATACCCAGGGGTGAGCAACATGGTGGACTACATTTCCCAGCAGCCCCTGCCCGTGCCAGTCCTGGCTAGTCTCAGGAGTGGCAGACCCCAGGAGCAGCAGGGCCATGACAGCACACAGCAATGACTGTGCTCCCAGGTTCAGTATGTATATATTTTCCATGTACAGAATCTAATTACTGGGGATGGGGATGATCGTAAACTCAAGGCTGCCTTGTATTTAGGTAAATATGGTACTGGTAGTTATACTTTTCCTTTCTTTAATTTCAGAGCACTGTAAGAAAAAGAGCTGTTCTCTTAGCTCCTTACTCTGCCTAAATGAAAGCAAACAAGGCATACTGACAAGATAACACTGAATACTGATCAAAATTCAATTCACATTGTTAACAGACTTTCTGAAGACCTCCACATAACTCCACTGTGTATGCAATCCCATATAAAAAGTCTGCTTTAGGGGGCAATACAGCCAGGTTATGTAACTTAACAGAAAACCATAGTTTTCCATTTTTTTCATTAAGTCATGTTTAAAGGAAACTTAAACACATTTGCCTGTTCACAGATGAGCTAAGAACTCAGCCAGTTCACATACCCAAAATGATTAAAACTTCAAGCAAGCTCTTATACCATTAAATATTCATGCATAGCTTTCACATGTACACTGCATAACCACATTTACTGCAAACTAACTAAATACAATCAGCACCTTTAAAATAGAAAAGGTGAAGAGAGGCAGACAGCCAAAGTGCTCTCATGCATGCTTGGCATCCCTAAAGCTGGAAAGCACAAATCTCTGCACACATCTCTTCCTTCAATCACCCAGTTCCACTTTGAGGCAGGGGGGTTGCATAACCACTTTGGGCGATCTTGCATGCCTCTCTCCACCTCCAAAACAGGGAGCGCAGAGGCTGAGGGTACAGGAGAGCACGCATTGGCTGTCTGTCCCACTCACCACCCAGTTGGAGCGGGTGGGGGTGAGAAATGGGAGACAGACAAGAGTCCCAGGACGGAGGGATTGCCTGTTGAAACCCCCTGACTGGGCAACAGGCCACTGCATTCTACTGTGGTACATTTGAAGCACTCCAGCTGAGTGGGCACAGCTAGGGATTTCATGTCTGTCTGCAGCCTGAAGCACTCATTTTGAAGTGCTCCAAATTGGAGTGGAATTTAGAAAGCTTCAAATATACATCTGTCCAAGGTCTCTAAACCATGGTGCACAAAGGAATGAGAGAGCGCAAGCAGCCTGATGCATAAGCTAGCAATGACGGCACTCCTCTGAGGTTGGACATCCAAGTTCTGATCCTCTGCACAAGGGAGTGCTTAGGCATTTTGCATTAAACTGTCACAAGATAAAGTGTTGACAGTGTTTTCATGACAGGGATACTGAATCAGACTGCCTTTTAATTTCTCTGTCCTCAAAGTCATCATGAACCTTGCACTCCATTCACAACAACCACATTGGCTCTGGAATGGGCTCCCAAGGGAGGTGGTGCCCTCCCCTACTTTGGGGGGCTTCAAGCAGAGGTTGGATAGATATCTGGCTAGAGTATTATGATCCCAGCACTTGTTCCTACCCAGGGCAGGGGTTTAGACTTGATGATATGTTCAGATCCCTTCCGACCCTAGAAACTATAACTTCAATTGGAGGGCTACAGAGTGCCCCATCCAGCCTTGTTTCTATCTTGGTAAGGGTGCCTAACTGAAAAAGAGGAAGGTGTAGTTTTGAATCTGCTCAGGCCAAAAAGAGCACCAAACCCAAATGTTACATTTCTTGGGAAAGCATCCCAACCACTGGGCTATTACATAAGGTAGTGCCCATCCCTTGCACTATCTCCTCCAGCTGCATTTTTTTAAAGTGGCAATGTCCACTGTACCTAGTTCATAGCTCAATACTATCAGTATTTGGTATGTTTTGAGTATACCAACCAGACTGGGCCCTTGAGGTAATCTGGATTTTAAGAACTCCTAATTAGCCAATCCCAGAAAAAGGTTATAGGACACCCAACACACTCAAATCAACCATGATGGCAGACCTCTAGGTATACATAACAGCATATTAGGTGGCTCATTTGACTGGCAAAAAACATAGGCACTATAGCCTCTCTCACATTTGAGTGGTTAAACAGGTTTTTGTTGATCACTCAGTTGAACTTTATCAAAATTCAAGCACCTAAGTTGCACTTCAGGCACACTGGGCCAGATAAAAAAAAAAAAAAAATAGCATGACCATTTGAACTCAGGCGTCTCAGTTCACAAGGAAGGTAGGACTCCACTAACCAGACCATGCATCAAATCCATTTATAACAGCAATTTTGTTAAGTTTCAAACTCTGGGACAGGAACTCCTGTCTTACATGTTTGGACAGTATATAACAATGCATACCACCTAATTACAAATGCCCATTTCTAGCTACAAGAACATAAAGGTGGCAAAGAGGAGGACATGGCCATTTATTATCAGTGATGTGACATAAGTATAAATACCAACATTAAATTCAAGATGTAGATTTTATTTCAATAGCTCTAACCCACGGTAAAGCTAAACTGTCTTTTTGATTTCCAAATTACTACAAACTTTTAAGATCACTCACCAGGTCACATAACACAAATTACAACCCCAACATCACTAGATACATCTTCAAAACAGCCAGGTAATCTGGAGCTGTGAAAATGAAAGCCACGTCAGACTCAGAAGAATTAAACCTGTGGATTACCGGCCTTTAACATTCCTTAAATTCCTACCAGTATAGATAAGTTTTACTGCTCATAACTAAAGTAACCGATATAGTCAACCTAAGACTAAAATATATCTTCCTGCACAGTAGATACAGACAGTACATACAAGGCTGCTTGCAAAGTCGCATTGAAACGTCTCTACACCAGCCCCCTTATAACAGAAACATTCTTTTAAACTTTATTTTGGCTGTCTGTCCTGATGTTTTGTATGAAAAGTTAGCAGGATTAGAGAGTCATCAAGGTATGCACAGAAAAGTTTCAAGACTGTAGAATCAAGCTTCTGCTGTGTGGGCATGAAGAGCTGGTACAAACAAGTAAGAGCCTTATTAGAAGAGCCAATAAAATTTTAAGGCTGCACAAGGTCTTCACCACTGCTAGACTGACATGGTATAGTACAGCGTTATGAGATTTTAATTGGCCTGACAACATTCACACAGTAACACCACAAGCAAATAATACATTTTAGATAATAGTTGGTAAGGTAAGAAATAGGCATTCCAGGATGCAAAATGCTAAAGGGATTGGTAACAGGGTATTTCCTTTGATTTTTAAAACGGCATAATAAAATTTCATTTCCGATCACTGATTCAAACATCAGCAAGGCACCTCATCTGAGGACTACTCTGCAGCCAGTAAAAAAATCAATTTTATCTCAATAAAAACCTGTTCACTTCAGGCTGTAGCGCAAATGTGTGGCACTGATAACAATGGTCTAGTTTTGTCTCCCATGTTAAGTATTAGGACTGCTAGTTATCCAGTGCTGGGAAAGTAAGAAAGTAAAAGCAACAGGGTAACAGAAACTGGAGAATTAAATGCAATTTACCAACCGACACCTCTTATTAAATAATGAGCATCACACTCCAAAAAACCTATTCCGGATCTTGGGGGGGAGGGGAGGTGATGAGGGATGAAGAGAGAAAAAGAAAGAGAAAGAGAGCATGAGTGAGCAAGCACACAAGTTCAAGAGCATCAGGAAAGGGCTGAATCTAGTGACAGTGGATAAGAAAAAATTATTTATATTTTTGTATGTCTTTTCTCCCCCATCATTGGCAAGACTTTCAATGCAACATTTGTAGTCTCCAAAGTCTCAATCTTTGATTCAATTCATAGGTAAGAAAATCTGTTTGACTGCAGTTGTGTGGGAGGTTTGGGAAAAAACTTCATGCTAAATGCTGGCTGACAAATGCATGGCTAGATAGCAAGAGTCCATTCCAAAGCTGAAAATCCCAGACTGTGAAGGTAATTGACAGAGAAAAAAGGGAAGTTTGAACTGAGTGGGAGTAGCTAATTTACTCTGTAAACTGAAGGAAAGGAAGTGTTTAATACATTACATTCTATTCTAAATTAGAAGCTATGGTTTTGCATATCGGGCACAACTCAATACAACCTCTCTCAGTCAAAGATTTTTAGTTTAGCTCTTCTGGATAAGACTAGAAGTGAACTGGGAAAAGGCAGGCTTCCAATTTACTACACGAAGGGCCTGACCAAAACTAATTCAAATCAATGGAGTCTCTTCATTGATTTCTGTGAGCTCTGGGTGAGTCCCACAGTACAAGTGTTTCACATCTTGTGTCACGAACACAGGATGCTAAGCTACCTGAAAATGTAAGTGGAGAAATCCTTACAAATCAAACCTTAAGCAGGTTGGCAATGGAGAGGATATTGCCCCTGTTGTATATATGCTGTTGATAAAGATTTTCTCTTTGTAGTGATGGTACTTTCCACAGCACTTAAAAAGCATGTACACTGCAAGAAGAAAGCTGAATGCATCGAGTTTCACTAGAAAATTTACATGATCTTAACATAAAATATATCTGATTGTTCATTTTGCTGATAGAAAGAGGGAAGCAAAGTACCAGCAATCTAGCATTTGTCAAGCTATGAAAAATGTCACATTCTTCCTTTACAACACACTCAGTATTGATCATGTGAATGCATCTAACAAATGTTTTTCAAAGGTTGATTTTGGACTTGAGGGAAAAAATAAAGGAAAATCATCATAAAATCTCTAATATTTTTTATCCCTCTCATAAAAGAAAAGTTATAATGGTAAATCCTATTATCTATGCAAGTTTAAGGTAAAAAAAGTCACCTCATTTTGCAAGTGAAAAGAGCCAAAAAAAAGTCATAAGAAGGTATTAGAAAGTCCTTATTCCTACCTGTACATTTTCTTCCGTAACTTGAATTTCAGCAGTATAAATGTAATCAATAAGCATTCTCAGAGTCCAGCCATCAACTTCCTTTATCCGAACTCTCTTTGCTCGACTCTCAGTCATCTCCCCTACAAAATACAATTTTGTAATCTGGTTATTTTAGATGAAGATCCCTCACAAATTACAACTGTTCTTTCCTGCAACAGAGGTGTTCAAACCTAAAAACAAACTTATTCAGGTCAGTTGAAAAAAATCAGCTCATTTCATTTAATTATACAGTTTCTATCTCCCTTTAAAAGAGGAGCTATACTTATCATAAACTGAACGTTAAGTGATAGGAAATCTTGTTCCCTCAGCATGGGCCATTAGTGAAATATGGCTGTTGGTTTTAACAACTGGCAGTCTCTTGACACACACAAAAATATTTCACTAAGGTAAACTCTTAAGACACTCTTACCTTACGCGCTCCTTGTGCCAAGGAGTTTTTCCAAGTACTGACAGTAGAAGCAGTTCTAAAAAAATCCAGCCCCACACAAGAGAATCAAGCAATCAAAGAATGTTTATATGAAGGAGTCATGAGTAGACAATTTTGCTTTTTATATCCTCCACCAGTAGAAGTTTAAATAGAGATTAAAATGGAAAAGGACGGGCAACTCGCTAGGTCTCATTTTGTGGAGGCTTAGATATGAATCATTAAAACATTTACCATGAAGCATGATCTTCTTAGAAGGTTTCAGGACAAAAAGTAACCATGACAAGAAAACTGTTCTCTCTCAGGATGCAGTAATTTGTTCATATGACAAATCACTGCACTGCAGACATGATGGCTTCCTGGGCATCAGCAGAATGCCAAGTGGAACACCAGAATCCCATTTCGAGGTAGTGTCTTAGAGAAGATTGTGGCTGAACTACCAAATACCCCAGATCTCTTTGCAGCTGGCCAATCTGCTTATAACACCTAGTGAAACAGGCAAAACTGCACTGGTTAAAATGGGAGAATTTCTCCTACAAGCAATGGATAAAGATTAGGTGTCCATACTTAAGTTGTCAGCAGGCCTAGATGCTGTTAATTACAAGGTAATGCAAGCTTGCCTAAATGCTAGAGGTGCACCGATACATAGGTCCAATATCTAATGGGCACCGATATAAAGAAAATTTACTATATCGGAATCAGCCATATCAGGCCAATAATTTGGCCAATAAATGGCCCAAGCATGTGCACAGCCGCAGCGCAACACAGGCAGCAAGGAGCACAGCCCAGCAACATGGAGAGCTGCCTCCAGCTAGTAAGTCTGGTGTGGTAGAAGAGGAGTGGGGAGGGAAGGGGCATGGGAGGCATGAGGCTGGGGCAAGTGCTGCCTAGCCAGGGCGGGGCAGGCACAGGACAGAACCACGGCTCAGAGGGCATGGGGAAGGACGGGCTTCCCTATGCCACCACTGCGTGCCGCTGGTCTAGCGGCTCATCTGGCGCTTGCCAGCTCCTGCTGCTGCTCCCACCACTTGTCTAGGAGGGCACAGGGGGCATGTGCCCCCAGATCTGTGTGGGGCAGGCCAAACTGGGGCCATGCCAAGCTCTTCCCAGCAGGGCGAGGCTGCAGCCACAAATTCGCTGTAGCCCTTTCCCAGCACAGCCCTGCCCCACCTAGAAAACCTTGGCACAGCCCCGGCCCCAGCCTGCCCTGTGCGGATCCAGGGGCATATACTCCCCTGCCCTCCCGGATGAGCAGCAGGAGCTGCTGGACCAGAGGCGTGCAATGGCGTGAGCTGATCCTCCACTCCGTGTGCCTCTCGCACAAGCCATGGCTCCGTGCCGCACTTGCCCCAGCCCCTTCCCCACACATTCCCTCACCACAGAGGCCTTGATCTGCCCCCCACATCCCTTCCATGCCCCCCCGCCCTTCCACCACAACAGACTTACCAGCTGGAGGCAGCTCTCCATGCTGGGTATCAGAAATCGGATCGGTATCAGCTAATATACCTCCTTAAAAATCAACTATTGGTATCAGCCCTCTACTAAATGCTGCAGCAATAGTGGACATTATTTCTCTTTTGCCCCACCTTTTTCTATCTAAAAACTTCTAGAAGGTGATATGTCCTCACAGCACTCTCATGTCACATCTGATTTTCTTGTTTGCTGATGGCATTCAGCTCTGCCCCATGACCCAACTGCCAGTAGTCTAATCAAGTATCCCAGGCAAATAGGGACACAGCTGAGAACTAAATGGGATTGACATTAGACTGAGATAGAGGGAAGCAACCAGACGATACGTCCATGCTCATATGCCCCTATTTGATTGTTCCTGCATTTCTATCATTTGTTTCCCTGTTTGTGGGGATCCTTGGAGTGGCTGAATATTTGTATATATTAGAAATGTCCAAAAGTGTCTTTTAGCATTTGCAAGTCTTCAGCAGATTGCAAGTTCAGTTTTTTCTACTGAAATTCCTGCCTTTGCTACTACTAGCATATTCTGGAAGTGCTCTCAACCTTTCGGTCAATCCAAAAGGCAGGTGCAGAATGCAGAAACTCATCACTACCACTGTGCATCTCGGGGGAACACGTGTCATTCATACTCAGTGGGCACGTCTACATGTTCAACAATGCACTGTAATTATGGCGCATGGAGTTTAAAACTTGTAATAGCAGGTACTACTTAAATGTGCCATAATTGGTGCTACTGTGCAGTAGCACCAGCACACCCCCTTTTTGTGATGCTAATGCACAGTAAACTAATTCTACTGCACATTGGCATATTATCACAGTTTTTGCCTGCAACGCTAACATGCAGTAGAATTAGTCTACTATGCATTTAGCGTCTCATGTAGATGCGCCCACTGATCTGCACTTCCTATTTGTTTGCTTCTATATTGAATTCAAAATGCTTTTTTTGATGTATAATGCACCAGAGGGGCTGGATCTTCACTCCTGAGAGCCTACATCTGTTTCATAGATTCATAGATGTTAGGGTCGGAAGGGACCTCAACAGATCATCGAGTCCGACCCCCTGCATAGGCAGGAAAGAGGGCACCCCAAAGAATGCTCTTCCTTTTATTTTGTTTGTATTGAAGAAGGTTGGACTAATTATATAGGATGTCTTGGTGCTTTGCTTTTTTTCTTCTACTGCTAACTTCTTGAATTGAGGCATGCCTTTGTTGCCACCCTGGCAAGCAGCCACCTAGAAGCACTACTCGCATCTCATTGTGGCTTAATTTTTGCTGTCACCCAGAAGTTTGGTGTAACTAGTTTAATGCAGCTTTGAACAGGCACTTGAATCCATTTTCAAGCTGTCTAGAGTTTCCTGTACTTTCACAATTGCATGGGTAGAAGTATATGACCTAGCCTCCATCAGCTGAGAGGAGCTGACCACCAAATGTTGTCTGTGAAAGTGCTCTATTCTGGTGTAGGCGTCTTTCCTTCCCCACCTCACCCTGGGTCTAAACCAGACCAAGCAGATCTTCAGAACATGCTACAAAACATCTTGTTATGTGGGCTGCTGTGGAAAACATACTTTTGAGATAAATAAGTGTGTGGGAGAACAGGGAGAGTAGAGTTCTGTAGGCGATTTAGCTTTGTTTTCCAAGGTTGTGTCAGGGTTTCTAGAGTCCTAGGTAGGGACACAACAGTTTAACAATTATAAAATCTAAAACTCAGGGCTCTCTGAGCCTTTCTTTTGGCCATTAGTAGTAATGGAAATCTTTTCTATTGTGACACTGTTCTACAGATGGCTCACAATTGCACATTACCTCGAAACACAAATTCTGACCTTGAGGATGATGTGTAGATTACCAGGAATTCATGTTCTAAGTGTCTTTTGTCAGATTCCCTTTTTTTTTTGGTATGAGAATTCATCCCTGAGGACACATCTATTCGGCCTCCAAGGCAAGCCCCAGGGTGCTGTGATAAAACATATAGGGGTACACCGATAGAGATTTTTTTGGCCAATTCCAGTGACCGATTATTAACCAGCCATATTGGTCGATTGGTTGATACCTATCTAATACCCAATATGCAGCCCCACAGCTTGAAGAGCAGTGCCTGGCCAGTAAGTCTATGGGGGGGGAAAGCGCATGGGGGTGGGGTGCAAATCCAGGCACCCACAGTGAGGGAGGGAATGGGGCTGGAGCAGGGGTAGGCACAGACCAGTCATGGCAGAGCTGCGGGTGGTGCTGCGGAGGGGAAAGGGGGCTACAGGGAATTTTGGGGCGGCTGTAGCCCATCCCATAGCCCCCCCTTCCCAGCACCGCTGCTGCCTGCCCTGAGTGCAGCCCTGGCCCAGCACCCCTCACTGGGAAGAGGCTGACACAGCCCCTAGCCCCGAGCTCACAGCAAGCAGCCCACCCTAGCCCTGTACACAAATCCAGGGGGCACTGGCCCTTCATGCCTTCCTGGGGATGTATGCAGCAGCAGGGAACTGCTCCCCCTCCTTACTCAACCCCTGGACAAGCCACCTGCGGCTCTGTCCCACCCCAGCTGGGCCATGCTTGTCCCAACACAACCCCCACTCCCTCCCTCACCATGGGGGCCTTTATCTGCACCCCCACACCCATTCCTCCCCACAGACTTACCGGCAAGACACTGCTCTCCACACTGCCGGGCTGCATTCATGGCCACATGCATGGCTACAGCAGCCAAAAAAGCCAAATTTTCCTTTTATCGGTGCCGATCGGATATGGACCTCAGTGCACCTCTGAAAACATGCACCACTCATTTGGTGCATACACCACTCATTTGGCCCCCTCAGTGAATGTCTAAGCCAAGAAATCAGGCTGTGTAGTCAGTTAAGCATCATCCTGAGCATATGCCAAAAAGCATACCCTAGACAGCTTGAAAATGGATTTAAGTGCCTGTTCAAAGCTGCATTAAACTAGTTACACCAAGCTTCTGGGTGACAGCAAAAATTAAGCCACAATGAGATGTGAGTAGTGCTTCCAGGTGGCTGCTTGCCAGGGTGGCAACAAAGACACGCCCCAATTCAAGAAGTTAGCAGTAGAAGAAAAAAAGCAAAGCACCAAGACATCCTATATAATTAGTCCAACCTTCTTCAATACAAACAAAATAAAAGGAAGAGCACCCCAAAGAATATTTTCAAAGTACTTATGTAACCCTTCTCTTTGTGGCTGGATATCTTCACAATACCTCTGGGAGGGAGGAAGTACCAATATGTCCATTTTAAAGAAATTAAAAAAATTAAAAGAGAGACGGACAATACACAACTCTCTAAAGCCACATGGGGAGTTTGTGGCACAGCGGAACAACAGACCTTCCAGAAGTCATTTATAACCATTAAGGAATGAAAAACCTTAACATAGGCAATTCTATTGAGAGGCATAAGGCAATGAACCTACTTTAGCTTACAAACTCTCTGGTGTCTCTGCTATAGCAATATGGCAGCGAGCTGATCAGTGTGGAGTAAGCAGAGGCAAAAGCCAGTCTGTACAGATAAAATTATAGGAACAGTGAACAGCGCAAATACCACTCAGAATTAGCCAAAGAACACTGAAATACACCCTCATGCTATAGGCTGCCAAAGCCAATGAAAGCCTGTGTGTCTACCAATAGCCTACAGTATCCAAGACTGAAGAATACAATATTTAGAACAAATGGTCAAGCGAAACTACCTACTTCAAATTCACACAGAAATGTTTTTTAATCTACTTTATGCCAAACAATTAGAGTTGGAAAGGTTTATATAATCTCCTTTTATAATCTCCTTTTATAAATGAGATGTTATATGTACAGTTTTATACCATGTTCACCACAGTAGTTAAGATTAAGGAGACATTAGAAGCTTAAAATCAGGACAAGCGCATTGAAAAAAAATATAAATAAAGCATTAAAATGTTGGAGACTTTGTTTAGCAAAAAAAGATGTTTATAATTTCACATTTCAGTGCAGCCTTGTTATCTTCAAATACAAGAATTAAAAAATATCTGGTACCTGTAAACATAGCATGGAAGTAAGGACTGCAGGCAGCTAGCACAACTCTATGAGCTGCAATTTCCATGTCTTCCGCTACTATTGTCACATCACACAGCAGGCTTTGACTATTTAAGAGATATTAAAGGAAAAACAATTATATATAAGCAAGCCACAGAGAATCATGTAACATCACATCACTCTAATACTCCCTCTACCCTAACCCCAATCCTAACAAAATGCTTTGAAGACAATGTTGATTAAGCAATGTTTTCAAAGGTGTTATGAAACCACATGGCTATTACTCAGTGTGCTTACAGATGGTGTTTGGGTACATGCAGCTTCCTAAAACAACACTCATGAACAGTGCTTTCTTGCTTAGCTAAAAAAAGACTTTTAGAAGTAGAAAATAACTAAAGATTTTTATCAGCTTAGTAGATAACTAAAAGAGTGAGGCTATATAATGGTGTCACTGGATACATCTGTGTGAAGGTGGACAAAGTTTCCCTACCAAATAGGTAAGGCTATAGATATTCCTAGACAATGAGGAAGCCTGATCTGAGAGGGGTTTCCTGGTTTTCACTGCTTTCCAACCATTTCATATACAGATTATAGATATTTTTATCTGGATGCACTAACTTAGATATTTTGAAGATAAACTTTATATTTTGGCCAATTTCTAACTTATCTAGATGGTCTGTATTACTCTTAACTTAGTGTTGGCACAACATGATGTTTCCTCCCCACTATTTTCACAAAGAGCTTTAACAAAGTTTATTTAAACCACTTAATCCAGTTCTCCACAGTGCAAAAATTAACTATTAGATACAAATTCACTGCAATTTACAATTACTCTTTATAGCTGAGTAACTCAAGCTGCAACCAGGTTATTGCCAGTATTTCTCTGGTAGGAATCATTAGTTTCGTATTACACCTACTGTCATCACCCTCCAGGCAGGTCTCTTCCAAGAGCAATATTTTGTCTCCAACATAAGAATGCAAGTAGCAACATACTGGGTCAAACCACTGGTCTACCTAGCCTAGCATCCTATCTCTGACATTGAGCACCACTGCTCTAGATATACTTGATTTAATGCTTTCTCTCTAAAGTATCTACCTGTGCCAATCTCCAGCCCACAGGGCTCCTGCCAGGTCCAGAAATTTGACAGTGGGAAAGCAGTGGCAGCATTAGCTGCCCATGGCTTACAGAGGTCCCATGCACCAAACAGATGGCACACGGGAATCACTTCATGATCAGATCCACAAGAGATGCTGGGCTGGAACACAGACTGGCTCTATAGCTAGGTCAGCACACTGACCCCGTGCCGGACCCCACCCACGGGAACTAGCTTCACAAAGGCTGAGCACTACTGATCTAGACTGATCTACACCCTTTTCATAACCCTCTTGCATCCACTATCGTTGGTTTAGAGATGCCAGAGGACAGAGCTCACAGGAGCCAGGGGTCAAAAGATGGGACATCCATGGATTTTTTGGGAAATAAAGGGAAATGGGGGGGGGGGGGGGGGGACATCAAAAGGGGGGGGAGGTAAA